TTGTAGTTTTAGATTTTCTGTTTCTTTGAGTTTAATTGTGATTTCTGCTTGTTCTAGTTTATCTACTAATTTTTGAAAATCTAAGTCTGGTTCTCGAATTGAGGAAGGATGAGATGCTCTCTTTTCGCTATTTTCCTTAATTGAGGTGTTAAGGTCATCATTAAAACTTCTGTCATTTTTGTGTTTTTATAGTCATGTGTATTAAGTGAATATGCTTTTCGAACTAGTGTTTCGATACGTACTGCTAATTGTTTAATTGTTTCATTTGGTAATCTGCGGATTTCATTGCATAAAACTCTTTGGTGTTATTTGTTTCTTTCAGAGTCAAACATTTTTGAAAACTCTTGTGTGAATCTTTTCCAGTCTGATTTTATTTCTATGGGTAATACTGAAAACCATTTTTGGGCTGCGCCATCTAAGGTTGTTTGTATTAGTGCTGTGCGTCTATGTATCCAATTTTGATGTAGTGGCGTATTAATTGGTTCGGGTCCTATATTGAAAATTACATTTGCTGTTACTGCATTTAGATAATCTTCTACAGAATATTCAGGGTCTGTTCCTGTGAATACAATCGGTGGTTTATTGGATGTTATTGATGATCCACCCATGAGGTATGGATTCATTGTCATCTGTAGTGATTCTGCGGCATTTGGCATTTGTGAAAAATTTGAAAGTTGATTTTTCGTTATTTCGTGTTGCTGAAGGTAATATGGAAGCGGTATTTCATTTTGCATTTGAGTTGGTTGATAAGAATGCATTAACATTGGGTTTTGTGGCTGTATTGGTTGAAAAGATGGTGTATTAAATGGGTTTGGTATATGCATTTGTTGTGGGTTTTGTATATCTGTTGGGTTTTGTGGGTAAATTTTCATATTTTGAGATGGTTGAGATTGTCGCGGTCTCTGTGTGCAATATTCTTTAGTATATGGTGCAAAATATCTGGTTGGTGATAATCATCTTCATCGGATGATAAATAGTTTGTATTATATGGTGTATGTTGTTTCTTTTTATTTTGTTGAAAGAATGGGTAATTTTCACTATAATCCTGTGTAGGTTGTTGATTATCTGGAAAATTTACTGAATTGGTCGATGTTTTCGGGAGATTCCAATAATGGGAACATACGTGATATAAATTTTGTGTGTTTTTTCGGGGAGGTTGGTTTGTTCTTGGTTTGTGAGCATAATTATAATTGTGTTCTGCAAAGGTATTTCTTGTGAATGGTTTTCGTGTTTTTGACGGTATTGTCATTGGTCTATACGTTTGATAGTCCATTTGTGAATATTTTGGAGCAACCGAAGGTTTAACGGTTGAGTGTAAAGTTACTTGTCTTAGTGATGTATTTTTTTTTCTTGGTGTTGTCAGATTGGGGTGTATTGGTGAAATACTTTGTTGTGTAGTTGTTGTTGTTGTTTGGACGATTTCTTCGTTTGAATACCTTGTTGTGTAAGAGTTTTGGTTCCATTAAGGTTTTCATTATGTATGACCGTCGAATTTAAACTGTTATTTCGTGTATCAGGTAAAAATGTATTATAATTCAATGGTGTTGCATCAATGGTTAATGGTATTACTTTTACATAATCTCTGTGAAAAGATATTGTCTTTATTGCTTGACTTGAGATAGCTTGTGGGATATTTAGAAATGCATGATGAGACCATCCAGGGTCCCAAACGTAATCTGATTGTTCTGAAAGAACAGTGTCGTCATTGGTATTTTGAGGTCTAAAATTTTTTCTTGCTTGTGAAATTAAATCTAAATTGTGGGTGAAATAATCTATTATAAACCATGCTAAAATCTTTGTAAATCATGTTTAGTGTGTTGTGAAACATAATCTTTAGTGAAATTTTGGCGAATTATATGTAGAAATGTTGAAATTACTGTGATTTTATTTCGTACTTTTGTATGTTTGGATGTTTCAGTTGGTGATATACTTTGAACTTCTGTTTTTTCTAATATAGATATATAACTATATATTATTGCAAAAACTTCGTTAGTGAATATGGAGTTTGCTCTTTGTGAATTATGATATTGTATGCTTTTGATATATTCTATGAATACTTTTGAAAATTCTAATTCAATATCGTCTGTTTGAATTAGATATTTACGATGGGCTGTATTTGGTGTGCTGAATTCTATGGTGTAGATTCCATATTGTTGTGTTAGATTACATATGTCTTTCAAATAATGTTCAATAATTTGTCTTTTGATTTTTACATCTGGGAATTCTTCTTTGCATGGGCTGATTCCTGGTTCAAACAAATTTACGAGTAAGTTCTTGCAAAAATCGTGTTGTCCTCTATCATCGAGTGAATCTATAAGAAAGGGAAAAACCGCTTCGTCATCTGGACTTTCGTCACTTTGAGTGTGGCTCATTTTTTCGTTTGATGACTGTTAATATATAACAATCGATGTGTCTAATTGGTTGTTTCCAATTATACAAGTGTACTGGTTTGTGTTTGTATTGCTTTTTTATTCTTCTTTTTCCTCTTTTTGATGAATTTGAAGTTGTTTCTGAGTCGGAAAAATATAATTGATCATGGATGAGACAATTTTTATCTATTGATTCTTATAATTTGTATAGTTCGTCTAAACTATTGACTTCTGATTCAGAAAATGCGTTTCTATTTTTTGAAAATTTTTTTCTTGTGATTTGTCTTTGTTTGTTTATAATTTTCCTTTTTATTGTTTGTCGTTTTGTTCTAATGTATCCAACTGTTTGTGTATGAGGTGTGATTACAAGATCGTATTTTTGTTATCTATTTCACAGTTGTGTAAAACGATTGTTTGTTTATTTCCTAAATTTTTGAATGACATAAGGTTTAGGATGAGGGATGCAAGAAGTTGTTAGTTATTTCTATTTCCTTAGACTGTTAGTCCTTACGATTTTTTGGTTAGCTTAACCTGGGTCTTTTTGTTCAGGGTTGGAGAGAAAAGTATATCAATTCCGAAGAATGATTTTTTACTTTCTCGTGGCTAGTCTAAGTTAACGTGTTAACTTACTTAATCTTACTTAGGGGTAGTGATTGTGTTCAAGGGTTGGAGAATAGTAAATCGATCCACAAGGTTCAGGTATAATTAGAACGCAAGTAATTTGTTAGATACTATTTTAAACTTACTTAGTCTAAGATCTATCCTGGGTCTGTTAAGAGGAGGGTCCAAGTGAAGGATGAATAACCGAAGTTCTTCACTGTTTATCTTAATTTGAATGGTTAGTTTTATTGAAAAATTGCTATTGGGTTTCTATTTCTATTAAAAACTCCTGGGTCTTTTGGAAAGGTTGGATAGTGAATCGACGTTTGAGGTCGTTAGACACTTACTAAGTGGGTGGGGGAGAACAAAATTGTTCTTTTTGATCCAAGGATAGGCCTTGATGATCAGATTTTAAATTTAGTGAGATAGAAAATTTATTAAGATCCAAGGATAAGCCTTGATGATCTGATTTTTTAAAATTAAGTGATTCTTTAAGTTTAAAATGGTTTAAATTTATTTAATAAAAAGGTTTAGTTTTTTAATGATATTAGTGAGCTTATGATTGCTGTTATGTTTAGGTGATGAAGCTGGAACAACAGGATGATTTATGATTACTAACAATTTATTGTCATGCTACTAATTTTTATTTTTATTTTCAATAAATATTTTTCAAATATGTTTTATATAATACTGCAGAAATTAAGAAAACGATCTGTGATCTTTTTATCAATCGTTATTGTAAATTAATAATTTTGTTTAGCGCCTGAAATGATCATGAAGTTTTACTTTAAAATTTTATGTTTGCAAATGAAAATCTAAAGTCATTGCTAATAAGATTCTAAATATAAAAGCTTGTGATGGCTTTTGCCGTACAACCATAAAACTAAATGGTAAGTTTCTACTTAGTCGTATATCGTCTCTTGTCCGAGGTCTTCTTCCAATACCAGGTAGTTCTAGTATCGTGCGGAATATTGGCTCTGATCTATTGAGTCGCAGAGACATATCAATTAAGTTATTATCGTGTAACATTTTGAAAATGTTTTGTCTAATTTCTAATCTATTTTTGGTTAATTCTAAGCTATTAAGGTCTTATTCGAGACTTATGCTCGCACCAGATGAGTTAATATGGGACTGGTTAACTCATAGAGTAATTTCGGATAGGGTACACCGTCTGCTCGTCACGCTATCTTATTTTCGGCCGGATATATTCGTGCAACTTCTTAGTCTAATACCAATCCTAATCTTACTCTTATATCTACTAGTCTCAGGGTGTTTAACTAGTCTCTGCTAGGCTCAATAGATCTAGAGTATACTGGCTTATTGCGGCAGCTGAAGTTCTCTTGGAGAGGCAACTAATTTCTAAGTTAAATTCAAATCTCTCTGGTGCTGAAATTACAAGTAATTTCAGCACTTACAAATAAGTGGGTTGTTAGTTAGATGGATTATGATTGGTTAATATTAAATATTTTACAGTGGTAAAATATCCAATTTATCCAATTATAAAATGTAGTTTAGATCAGGTTCCAAAAGAAAGAAAGAAAGAAAGAAAGAAAGAAAGAAAGAGCAGTAAATAAAGTTTAAACCACGGTTAGAGTGTAGTAGAAATAAACTTGGTTGTCAGCTATTCATCATTTTTTGTCTAAGTTAATCTGAAAAACAAAAAATAAGTTCCGAGCAGTTTTTTCGTATCTACTTAACACTTAACAATACCCGCTTTAAGAAAAGGGGAGATTGTTAAGTAGATTGAAACAGTAGAGTTTTCGACCGATCAGAATCCAGTAAATTAGAATTCGCAATAGAAAGCTCTGTGCTAATTTACTGTATTTATTCATAGGGGAGGGGGGAGGGGAGGAGAGGAGAGATTGTTAAGCAGATACCATAGGGGGGATTGTTAAGTAGATCCGTTTTTTCTTTACACTGAGGCAACTTTTTTGATTTTTTTTGGAAGAATCTCAATCACGACCAAACGACCAATCCCCAAACCCTCCCCCCCCCCCCCACCTTCGAGGGCAATCGGATCAAATGGGATTTCTATTTTTGAATTTGTCCAAAAAATCTTGTTGGATGAGGATGAGACCACTTTCCTAATAAAGTCATGAACACGTATGAACACGTGACCCCAGTGTAGATGAGAAGACCATACACGGAGCAGAGGATCTCTCCGAACATCCAATATCCATGGAAGAACACCTGAAACACAAAACTATAACTTTATTTTTAGAAACTAACCCAATAATTTCAATAATCAAAAAGATGCTACTGATCATAAAGAATTTAAAGCGATGCTTGAAAGGAAACTAGAGAACCCGCAAGAGACAAACTTAAGACAACTTCCAGCTAATGATTCTGTTTTTCTTAATATCATCATACAAAATACTTCATCAAAAACAATTTGGATAGAAGCATGTAGTTTGGATAAAAAAAACATATTCACTAAGTAAATAGAAAAGTAATTACAAGATTGCCAAGTTTTTTTTTACAAAAAGTGAATCATTATTTAGATCCTTTGGTGAATCATCCGTATCATGGTGAAAGCATCATGATCCTTTGGTGGATCAATTAAATATTTTTAAAAAAACTAGTTTTAAAATCTTTGCATTTCAAATTTTTTATTGAAGCTTTTTCAGTAAAAAAATAAGGATTACAATAAAAAATTATAAAATTGTGTAAGAATTACCTGGACAGTTGCTGGTAGAATACAGAATACACTCGTCAGAAGATCACTCATGACCAAATTCAGCAATAAGAAACTACTTTTCCTAGTAGCTCTTCCCCTCTTGGAAAATATCTTCACTGACAGAATCAACACATTTCCCAGGAATGAGAATACGAATGCTATCAAGTGGAGAAATCCCATGGATATGGAGAAAAATGAGGAGTAAGGATCCCAGAGGGAATTGGAATATTGACTCTGATTTGAAATTCCGACTACGTCAAATGTGATCGTAATAATCGAATCTTCAATTATATTGTCATTAGCCATATTATATACGTTAAACGTCATTCAGAATTTCGTTAAAATCGAAGCTCTGAAATTCGAAAATAATGAAATGGAAAACAAAAGTCTAAGAAATGGTGAGTAAAATAAAATTAACAAACTTGCATTATAAAGCAAATTGATCTGATTTTCTGGCAATTTCCGATTTGAGATAGTTGATAAGTCGAAGTACTCGCTAAAAATAGGTGTTTTTTGCCCTGACACTAATATTTTTGTTTTTCGGATCTTTTTTGTTCAACAACAAGTTTGCATAAGGAAATGCTGTTTAGGCAAAAAAAGAATATGAAGCATGCTGTTTCGTTGCTATCAAACAAATAAATTATTCTCTAAAAAATGCTAAAAGTGAGATAAAACCCTAAAGTTGGTTAATAAAACATAAGTAACCGTATATAAGCTTCGAATTGAAGAAAGATGGCGGAAATGTTACAAAATAAAACCACGCGGTTTTAGTTATACGTGCTGCACATACATTTCCGAAGATTTTTCAAAATTGTGGATTTAGATCAACGATTTTGGGGCTAAAATAGTTCGTTATCAAACTTCCTCGGAAAATGTTGCAAAGTAAATATTCAAAGCTGCTGTCGAGAAAACAATGGCAACATAAAGTTAACAAAACCAACAAAAACTTGAGCCCAATTTTTTCGAGTTAAATAGATGAAAATAATCACTGAAGTAGATCAAAATAAAACTGATTTTTTTCTACTAACTCAAAGCTAAAATTTGAGATACAAATTGAACGAGATAGCTCGTATCAGGGCGAAGCCCTGAATGTTCCGACTGCCTTTTAAGGTCTAGAGCAGTAATATCATGGAAAACTTAAATATAATAAAAAAAAAAATAAAAATCCCCCCACACGCCAGTTTAAGTTCAAAGTGATAGATTTTGCTCCTATTAACAAATCATTTATGGCATATAATCTACCTTGAATCAAATTGGAACGATTTTTAGGACGGATTAAATCTCGCTTACGCGTTAATAGTGCGAAACATATCGCGCGTTAATTGTCCCATAACTTTACGAAAAATGATCACAGGTGAAATATCTTTTCATATTTAAGCTCAACACAACAATACCTTTTGAATGATAAAAAATGTCCGTCAAAAATAGCTAGTTAAAAAGTTGAAATTTGTCTGAAGAAAAAAACCCCACCCCGAGCACAAATATTCCGTTACTTTCGTTACGAAAGTCGGAACAATAAAAGGATATACATCCGCAGTATACAGGACGTTACATTATGAATTAGTTCAATCTTTGAGACGTTAGATTTCGAATTAGCTCAATCTTTGAGACAATTTTTTTTCAGGTCTGAACTAAAATTTCTTCCTTATTAAAAATATGTCAGCTCAGCAGACGTTTTCCTGGAAGATAAATTGTGATCTAATTCTTTTCATTTGTCGGTCAGATTAAAAACAGCGTGAATAACAAATTGAATACTAATTCGTGATTGGCAATTAAATTTCAGGTAGAAGTAATATATGTCTGGACTTAAGAATAAACGTCAATTGCTGTCGCGGTGAAGGAAATCGAGAAAGGTTGCTGCAGAATATTTCTAACAAGATTTCATAAAATTGAAATATAGATTTTTCCAATGGAATAGTATAATATTTGAGATGGATTTCTAATTTTTCATTGCCGTTTCGTTCTGAGTTTGAAACAAAATCGATTGGAAGGTCGTAATTAAATCTGAAAAAGACAAAAAAAATGAATTTGAGAAAAGGCAGCTATTCTGGCTATAATGGATCTTTAGTCTCTCATTGGCTGATTCAGGAAAAAATGATAAGTATAATTTAGAAAAGAAACGATATCATGCTAATGTTAACGTTATTCTATGGTTTTCAGCAAATATAAACTTTGCTGGTACGATATTGAAGACATAAAGACAAATGAGCCAATCGAGTGCCGGTTTAGAATTTTCTCGAGAGTGTTTGAATTTTTTAAGAGCTTACAAAACGTTTAGAGAGACCTCAATATGATTTTCCGAGCTCTTCTACAAGACTATAAGGTCCTTTTTCCCAAAAAACCTTCCTGAAATTTTAAACAAAAACAAGCAATGAGGACTTTTTAAGACGTTTTGACCGAGAAATTGCGTTTTCGACGCGCACCTCCGCCTTCAAATTATTGTATTTGGAAATAAATAGATGTCGTAAAATTAGATGACAGGGTTTCGAATCCCTGAAGAAGGACGTCCGCCTCTCCCCTCCCCTAAATCTGCTCCTGACGCAATCAAAATTAAATCTCGGTCAGAGCTTTTGGTAAGAAGTTTGACCAAACTGTATGAAAAATACGGCGGTGGGGACGGTAGACAGCGACGAATTATGAGTGACAAAGGCTTCAAACTCTTCAAAAAATACGCCTGTGTAGCATTTATTGTTTTTTTTTCATTGTTTTGACCTTATGAAGCTCTCAGCAGACAAGGCATTCCATCAAAAAATTTATATATTTAACAACTTTTGATATCCTTTTTTTAAATTGAAATTTAAATTGCTAGTCACGGGACAAAATGTGACAATTTTTTATGTTACCAAAGTAACGATCAGATTTTTGCGTGATAGAGTAACAAAACTAATGCCAAATTTCGTGATGTGAAAGAGCGAACTAGTTTAATGAGATGTGGATGAACCGAAGCTGAAAAAAAAGTTTAAGAGGTAAAAATACACCTACTCTTTCATGAATAGTTCGTTTTAAGCAACCGAGCCTCGAAGTTCTTAAAAACTGCTCGCTGCAAAAATCTAGTTTCTCGAAAAGACAATGTTAGGATTTGCTTCATTATTCTACACTTTTCATCTTTGGTATTATTTAGATGCCTGTCAATTCTTAGTATGAATCGACCAACGGTCCATCATTCACTGTTTGTTTTAGTTGAAATACATGCATTTTAATTCAGCACATTTATTCCTTTTTGTTCTTAGTGTTAGTTGTACAAATATTGTACCCACTTAGTTAGAACATCCTTATATTTTATTATGACGCAGTCAATCGAATCGAACTTACTGTAAGTTCCTTCATTCTGGCCAAACCACGCCATGGAGTCGCCACAATCCTAGACCCAATAGAGCGACTTATTTCATATGGTGATAATGGCAACAGAGAAACTGGACATCGATAGTCTAAGCGGAATGGAGGTGCCAGAAATTCAGATTCTCGTTCTGAAGCAAGCAACAGGAAGTGAGCTGGACAACCTAAGAACAATTCGGGAGACAAGGAACAAGAAAGCGATGAAAACAAAACGAACCAGTTGCGCTTGATCAGCTGTGCTCGAACAAAAGAAAAAAAAGTTGGGCTCAATCTTGTTTTTAGCACTCGGAAACTAAGAAAAAAAAGGGCTTTGCTCAGAAAAACCTTCGAGTGAAAACTTTAGTTTTTCCTTTCCATAATTTTGAGAGCAATTAGACTCAGTTTTTAACAAGCCTCCATTTTCCATTTTCGAGAGGTACAAGAGAAAAAGAGTCTCTAAACCACAAACAGAGAAAACAAATCTGGCGAGCGCTGAGAGATCTAGCCAAAACCGTAACATCAGATAGTCATACGAAGCGGAATGGTTCAGAGACTTAATCAGCAAGATGAAGAACAGTGAAACCCAAAAAAGAACTACTGTTATTAACTCTCAATCCATCGGAAGTTTAACGTCAGGCACTCATTGATAAAGAAGACTTTTTGAACCATCAAAAGCTAACGAGCATGGCAAGATACACCTCCAGCGGTACAACTTTTGAGTCTTTGCAAATAATCACATAAAAAAACGAAGCGAGCCTTAACATCGAGCAAGGTATTTCACTTAGAAAATGTGTACAGCGAAAGAGATCAACTGTTTCTTTTTTGTAGCTATGAAGAACACTCCGAGAAATGTTCTGAATCAAGAAACAAGTGTCCCACTATAAAAATTGTAATTGTTCTTAATGAAAGTTGTATAAAGTCCTGGTGTAGAATTCCTGGAGCAAAAATCAAAAGTTTGCGTGGTCGATAAACGCTTGGAATGAGATTGATCAGAGTTGAGAAGAAGATTATGCAATCCTAAGCGTATGTACAAAAAAATATGATCAGAATGGATTAGAGAAATCCAAGAAGTTATTGAACAAAAAGTTAAGTTAGGAGATACTTGTGAATATGAACTAAACTGTAGATTCGGCAAGCCCAGTGAGTTTTACCAAGCAAAATGCACTGCAATAATCAAAGCAAAATGCACTGCAAAAAGATACCCAAAATTAGTCGAGAAACGAAACGAACAAAAGATCTTCAGTGCTGATTCACAAATGACACATTTCTTATCTAGCAATAGCATCATCAGAACTCAATCCAACGGGTGAGTGTGCGAAGAGACAACAATTTTGATTACGCAAGCACAAGAAAAAAATATCATAGAAAACGACACTCTGGCTCAGCTGGCGATAGAATTCAAGCAGATGACTTCAACAGATCAATTCATTGCCGAGGAAGAAAAAGTTACATAACTTATTCTTTTTATAGGGTCAAATTTTAAAGAATTTCAAAGGTTTAATCAACAGATTCGGCGAGAAACCTAAATATTTCCGTTCTCCTTTTAAACCAGAACAAGCAAAAGGAACCAGAAGAGTTCCTTTACACTTACTATCATGGGTAAATCAAAAAAAAACAATAAGAATGGAGACCGAAGGTCACTTCGAAAAAATTGGAAAAAGCAACAAAGTACGGAAAGCAACAAGTAAACAGTGCAACTTTATCATCGTTAAGCTGAGATATCACAGACACGTACCAAAATTTAACAGTTTTTCATGGAATTGGCGATATGTTAAATGAATTTCAAAGAGCCATGGACTCAATTTTGAAAGGGATTCCACGACGAAGTAGACGACAAGTTAATCGCCTCAAAGACAACGTCAGGAGAACAAAATTTATAGTTTCATATACTCTCAGTATAGACAAAATGAATATGGCAGTGAATCTGACAAAAATTCATTTTCCAAAAGAATTAGAACGCCTGAGATTGAAAACTTCTGAAGCTTGAGTACAGGTGTTAATCGGCACAACAGACCAATAAAAAACTTCCCAACCCAAGCAATTTTACAGAAATACGCTCATTTTTCAGGTCGATAAAACAATATGTTGAACTCGTTCCGAACTCTTCTACAATTAATTCCCAGTCAGACCCCTACTAAACAAAAAATTGGTGAACCAGTGAGATAAAAACCACACACTTGCCTTGGAAAAACTTCGGTCTAAGTTTGTGAATTTCACCGAGAATAGCCTCTTCGATCTCAAATAGAACACAAGACTGACGACGAGCGCCTCACACAACCTAATGGGAGCCATGCTTGATCAATTCTATGGGTGGGACCGAAAACAACTGCTGTGGCGTCGAGATTTTAAA